GTAGAAAGAACCTTTGAATCATAGATGTCTTTACAATAGATCGTCTTGCTAGTGAAGCTAGTCCATTAGCTTTTTGGAGTCTTTTGCTCTCTGCCTCATATTGTAGAGGCGTTGCATTGTGGTTGCTCCTGACTTTGAGGACATAGAAAGATAAAGAACCACTACAACGGAGTTCACTTTTTACGGCGTGCATTACGACTTTTTACGGCGTGCATTACGGCGTGTGGGCGCACGCCATATAAAGCCATGCCATAAAAAATCTTAACTTTTTACAGCGTGCAATGTGCGCCGTTAGAGAACGCCGTTAAAAGATGTATACGTTTTTACGGCGTGCCCATTATTTTATGGCATGCTGGCGCATGCCGTAAATACGATTTTTTTACCTTTAATGATGGGATTTTTTACATTTAACGGCATGGCTTTGCACACCGTAAAAGCTAATTTAATTTTTAAAAATCTGTTTGTTTATTTGATTATAGCACCTATAATAATTACACAAATCCAATTCCAACTTAGTTAATATGAAAATTAAATATTTTGAGTACAAGCTAGCATGAAAAACAACATTAAACTAATTAATTATTCTAAGCTTAAAGATGAAAAAATTAACACAAACATTTATCATATATAAATAAAATGTATCAATAAATGTAACAAATACTTTCAATTTCCTCAACCGACAGACATAAGTTCAACAAATGACATGCCTGATTGATAACTGATGGCTTCTCAACCAACAGACATAAGTTCAACCAACACTAATAAGTTACTTTACAAACAAAAGAATGCTTTCCAACCACATGAGTGCGGAGCTCGATCTGGATGAGACTTCAGCAACGCTCATTTGTAAGCTGCCTGTACCTGAAATTTCATCAGATGTCAATGATCAAGTTTCACTCAATGGCAATCAATGGCCAGTTAAAAGTGTTAGACCCACAGAAGCAAGAATGCTAGGAGGACTTGAATTGTAATATTATTTGCCTAATGAATTGTGAAATCAAGATAAGGAAAACAAAGGTCTAATTTTGATTTTGAACCTCGGCCATCTACAGAAACTTAGCAATTGACTGAAAGATCTATGGAGAAAAAATTACTTATCAGATTGAAATTCAGATCCCAGAAGCAAACATAAGGTACTGGACTAAATTCCATTACAGTAGAATCTCTCCACAAACACTTGAAGAAAAAGAAAAAAAAAAAAAAAATCTTTATGACCACTAATGCAGATCTTCAAAAATTAGAAATCCCATATACCACAATTGGTACAAGGGAAGGGTAAATGGAAAACATAATTCATTAAATTTAATACAACTAGCTCAAAATCTAAGTCCTAGGAATTTAATCTAGCCATTTTAATGGAATTTCATGATGCCCTAGAAAAAGCACAAAAACAAACCAATGAGAAATCTGAGAGAGCTATCTAAAAACCCAATGGCTTTATCTTATGACTCCAAGAGCCCTCTGAAAATGATTAAATAGTGCTTTGATGTCAAGCATCAAGGGAACTACTTTAACAGATATTCAACAGAGTGAAATGATGAGTTAATATTTTTATAATTTGGTATAAAGAAAGAAGCACATGATATCAAAAGTTAAAAAATCAAAAAAAGTGATGATAATACATGGGTTGTTTTTGTAACTTCACCAGAGTGAGTGTTTGATTATGCTTTTCTTCATTTATTATCTTGTTTTTTGCCTGTGCAATTTCTTTCCCTCTCCCACACACAAACAGTGTGCGATGTGATCAAAGATAGATAGGCATGCAAAGTGCACTGGGGCTGTGTTTTCTTGCTTTTTCTTGTGCAATGTCTTCAACTATAACTAAAAGCCTGTCCTGTCAATTAAAAGCAACAAAGCACGAAGATTTATAATTACAAAGGAAAACAAATAGCAAATTCATTCTAATGTCAAATTATAACAGATTCACATATTATCACAAATTACCAATCTGTAACGTATATAAAAAAGTTCTCTCCAATAGGTGAGAGGGATAACCCTAGAAAGAAGGGGTTCCCCTTTTCTTCCCCCATCTCACTTTTGTCTCCATAGAGATCTATATATATATAGGTATCAGAGAATAGATTTTCAATTATCTTAAAATAAGGAATTGACATCACTGCAGCTACCACCAATGGAATTGATCAAGGAGATGAACTTATTATTACAGAGTATGTACTGATTATTGGTGAGGTTCTACTTGGTATATGCTTTTCCTTCACTATAAAAAACTACCAATAGTTTTATGAACTAATTAATGATTCATGCTTCTTTTTATGTTTTATGTCGGAAGCCCATGCAAGAATGCATCTTAAACAGCTTTCAAAACATACACATTATTTCCCAGTGACGATTGGCAGATAACATTCAGCAAATCTGAAAAATATAGCACTAAATACAGTGGATCAACAAACAAAATCCATTACAGAGTCGGTGAAATATCTATAAATGGAATACATTTATCTCACTTATTGTAAGAAGAAAATGAGCTTCACTATCTACTTTACCAACAGCCCAAGTATATACTCAAAAGTTTCATCATAAGGCACTACTATAAAAAAATTCCCGTAACAAGGAATAGCAAAAGATAGAAAATAGAAAGCAGTTATCTAATTTTGTCTCCTATTCTCCAGCAAATAAAAACACAATTGTAAAGAAAAAATAAAATCATAAAGGGGACTTAATCACTGGAGTTTATAAATATACACATCAATAAAATGCCAAACAACAATGAGATATAACTGAAAATGCCTAAATTTAATTCATTCAAAAATCAAGCAGCACAGCCAACATTTACAACCAAAATATAACCTAAAAAACACTCAAAATAAAAAATTTCATCAACAAAGGAAAATATTTCAAACTCCATATAGAAAAATGCAATAATAAGAAAATTAATTTCATTATCAAGTCGAATGACATAACGAATCAGGAAATAGCCAAACAATAACTTGATTTTAGGTATTAATCTGATTCATGCTAACTCATTCAATAGCTTAAATCATACAATTCCTTCTAGAAACTAGACCCCTATCAAGAAAGAGGCAGGTATTAATTTGAAGAATCCTTACCTTATAGAAATATTTTGATTTGGGTCCTGGGAGGCGACCGACAAGGGTGAGAGCTGGCGCCCGTGGTTGACAGTGAAAGGCGGAGAGTGAGAGTTGAGGCGCCGGGCAAAGTCGTGGAGAGGCGGAGTCAAGGATGGTGGTTGTGGTGGACTAGTGGCTGCACAAGAAGCACTGGGTTGATGGGGAAAAAGAACGGTAGGAGGCACAGTGAATTGAGAGAAGGAGGAGAAGTTATGAATGGGAGAAAAATGTCGTGTTTAATTAGGTTTTTTAGGACAGATTACTACGGCGTGCGTTTGCACGCCGTAAATACGTTTAATTTTTGAGCAAAACACGGCGTGCAACATATGCACGCCAAAATAGTGGCTTAATACGACGTGCATCATTTGCACACCGTAAATAACTTTACTAAATGATTTTTAATGGCTTATTTTTTGCGCACGCCGTAATTAATCTATTTTTATGACATGCCATAAATGCACGCCGTAAATGAATGCCGTAAAAAGTTGCTTTTGTTGTACTGAACTATCTCTTCAGTTATGGCCAACTTCTAATCTTATCTGGATGGAGTCTGTTGTACCACCCTCCAGTTAGAGTTAGTTTAAAAAAAATTTGAACCGTTAAATCTTATTTGCATCTTGTAGGTGCTGAATTGATCTTCAGCATTACCTCACCCTTCAAATCTAGGCATTTTTTTGTATCACGAAGCTGGTTAGGACATAGGTTGACTTGATTTCCTAGGAAGAGATTATAATTATCTATCTCACAAGGCCTTGAGGGTTTGACCTCATCCTTGTCGTACCCAGGTGGGGTGGAAAATGTTGGTGTCTTGTATATCTCTTATTTACCTTAGCGTCGAGAGCTCTTATTTCTTGCCTACTTCTTGTAGAGCTTTATTTTAGGGCCTATTTTTAGGTATTTCAACTTCTATCCTACCAAAGACATTGGTGAATCTTGTGTGTTCGCTCTTGCTCGTATTTTATAAAAAGGATATCGTCTCCTCCATTTGGTGGAGCTAGGGTGGTTGGCTTTGAGCATGGCTTTGTAAGATGTCGACCTCCACGTCTCTCTCAATGGGTTGAGATCTCTTTATCATCTTTAGTTTTGGAGATTATCTCTTTACATTTTACCCCGAAATCTTAGTTCACCCATTGTCTTTTAAAATGTGGCTAGAAGAAGATAAGGTGGGGCATAATAGGGGGCATTTGCATGCCAGCTTGTGCCTATATCTCCCGGAGAAGGATCTGCATGGAAGAATTCTTCTTGTGTAATACTTTTCTTGTTGATGGCCATGCTAGCCACTTCTCTAGTGATATGAACAAGAATTTGCCACCTTTTTGATTGCGTGCTCGAAAATTTTGGGCATCTGCAGCCGTGGGGTTCATTCTCAAAGATATCCTTTAACGCTTTTCGTGGGTTAACATAAATCCCTTTGATTTCGCTCTTTTTCTTATATGAGAGCGCCTTTTTTCTTCAAAGAGGATCTCATTTTCATTTTCTTAAAAGATTTTCTTCCCTATAATAGGAGAGTCTTCCTTAAGGATGAGGTCAAGAAAGGTGCTCCTTCAATGGAAAACACTTCTGAGTTTCACCTCTTCCTTTTTCAATGAACAAGGATCTAATGTTGAAAATCTTCTTATGTTGGTTTCTTCAAAACTTTCTCTTGCTCTTTTTTCAAGAAAAAACTTTTACGAAGGGGAATAATGTATGTTTTCATATAGGCTTTTTGATCATGTGGTACACTTGTTAAAGTATGGTTTCCTACGAATGGTGATAATCTATTGACTTTGGATTTAGCAAAACACGTAGCTGACAGATCTCTACTCTACTATCATCCACGTTTATGTTACTTGCACATTTAGACCAAGTGGTAGATGCACATGGGCTATATCCCTTGGAATAGGAGAGACAATCGCGGGCACTGCGACTCTCAAGTCAATCAACGATTGAAGGTAATTTATTGGGTATAAGAGATAATGACCTCGTGATAGATCCTGTTGAAGAGCAAGCAATCAGTTTGCAATATCATAGTGGCATTTAGAATTGCATTGCCTTTAAAAAATACTGCTTGTGAGCTTTTCTACTATGAGAGGAGGAGATGTCCGCTGAATGGTTGACCTGGGGCCTCATCCTAATAGCAAATGGGTAAGCTGGACATGTATCCATCCTAGTTGTCCTAAGCCTGTAGATAAGCAAATGGATAAGCTTGACATGCATGTACCTAGGCAGCTATGGGCATAGCGGTGACCATGCATATGGGCGATCGGGTAATGGAATTTACGGAATTTTGCATTCCTAGCAGTATCCACCCAATTGTAAATATGAAGTGTTTTGACTCTACTGTACAGGGATAACTCTTGGTAAGCATTGTTTCACACTTTAAGAAAATGTTTAAAAGATTATTCTCGTACCTTGTAATTTTCTGCACAAAACTTATCGTTTGCATTGCTTGTCTACAAATATAGTTTCTACTTTGTCATTCTTGAGAAACGGTGTATAGACCTCGACTATAGACTTCTTTAATCCTTGGTCTTTAGATTGTCTTCGTAGATATACAATGCAGACAACATGGTGACCTCATTATATCCGGGAGGCATATTTGTGTGCCCTAGTGTATCACTTAATTGGTGAGCAAAATCGCATCTTAAGAAAGTCGTAAAAACGAGCATTAAAGCCAAATTATTCATTATTGGAGGATGTTCGAGATTCTTCAATATTCTGCTTCTACTCATTTCTTGTGTTTTTAAAGACTTTGTAGTGCTACTTGAAGATATTCAACCAAGAAAAAATAAGGCCCCGTTCGGGAGTGATTTTTCACCCCTAAAAAATTGAATTTTTGACCGTTATTTTACTATTTCAACTGTAATTTTTGACTTCTTCTCTTATAGGTGACCCTTACTTTTCTCAGAACGGTCAAAAAATCAATTCTCAAAATTACCACCGAACAGGCCATAAGTCTAATTTTCGAGAATATTATCAACTTTATCTAAATTTCAAATTTTCGTGAAGGTGATTTTAATAAAATGCCATTTCAGGTCATGTTCCATGATTTTGAAAAAAAAAAAATGGTAAAATGGTAATTTTGAGTCCTTGACATTTAAAGTGAGAATTCAAATTTAGTTTAATTAAATCTATGAATTTGAACTTTTTTTGACAAATATTGTGAACATTGATTAAAAAAAAATGTTACACTATTCAAAATAATTTTAATATATTTATTCTTAAGTTTACTTATTTTCCTTAAGTAAATTTAAAATCATATACATGCTCTTGGTCTAGTTGCTGGCCAGTGGGCAGGAAGTAGAGCTCATAATGTATCAATAACTAGAGGGGCAAAGAGATAATTTGAAGAAAAAATGTTATACGTACAACACACTATACATTTTTGTTGACAACCCTCTCACATATAGGAAGTGGGATCCGCGATCCCACATTTGTGAGAGGGCTATAAAAATTTACAGCATATAGATCCGTACGAAAGGCATTTCTCTAATTTGAAATAGTGCTTAGTTGGGTGACTGCAATTGATAGAGTGGACACTTCAGGAGCATTCAAGAAGCAACATCGGCTACACTGCCATGGCGGATTGTTGGCGTCAGTTCTGTCATTTGTCAGCACCACCCTCGCGTGTTCTCAATTAAGCCCACACTCTCCAGTTTCTCATTCCAACAGCATCCTTTGACCATGCAGATCAAAACGTGTAATGCATTCATGATTTTGCATTTTATGCCCCTTATTTAGATTCAAAGATACTAAGGCCTTGTTTGATAGTGATTATGAGAATTGCATTTTTGATCGTTGGAAAGAAAAATGAATCACACCTGTGGGGTGGGGAGGGGTCGAGGGGAGAAGAAGAAGATCCATTTTTCTTTTCTTTTTTTCTTTTGTTTTTTGATTTAAGTTTTTTAATTGTTTAATGTGATATATAGAAAGTTACTATTTTATCATTTTAAAATTAATTAAAAGATGGTCAAAGTTTATTTTGATGATCAAGACGGAATTTTTGACAAAAACTATCAAAAAGGATTTCACGTGCAACGTTTGAAAATGTTAGGGTGACGGCTACAACAAATAAAAGATTTGAGAAAGTTTGCAAATATTTCAAATGTTTGGTACTTCTGCTGCAATTATCCCTAAAATTAATGTTTGCATTTGATTGTATTTATAAATCATTTCTAAATTTGTATTCAAATAGAGGCTAATTTTTTTTTTTTTTAATGTACTCTAGACTTGATAATAACGAGCATTTAAAATAAACGGAGTTTTATAGGTACAAAAATAAAAATTTAAATTTGATCTTACAATAAAAAATCTGATCATCAAAGCATATAGAGAAAATTGGCAGAGGTCCCAAACCTTTCTTTTGTTGTAGATTACACCTTAAGCTTTCATTTTTTGGGTCACGATCCCAAACCTTTCATTTTAATGGTAGTTGGAGTCCATATGGCAAATTCTGTCCATAACGCCTCTAGTCAACACAAAAAATTGATTTTTGACTCAAATTGGCAAATAAAATGAGGGACAAAATGGTAAATCAAAATTTCTATGATAAAAACTTAAAAATAATTAAACAAAAGATAATAAAAATAAAAAAGAATAGTTCATCATCAACCCCACGGTACCTCCACCCCACTCTAAAAACTAGAGAACCAATTAGCGCCCACTGTCGCCATCGCATCCACACAATACCGTCTGCCCACCACCGTCATTGCAAACTGCCGCACCACCGTACCTAAATCTAAAACAACACTACAATGTTCAAGAGTTCCATGTTGATGCCTAATATTTGATATGGCTCTGGCAAGAATACTTGCCAGTATCTTCCCAATGGTTTGAAGAAGTTTCTTGTGCATAATGCCACAGAACTGGAGCTACGGATGATGCACAGTAGATAACAAAATAAGTCCCAAATCCCATTCTTGGATTACCCACTTTTATGTATATACACTGTCTATTATATCTACTTTCTACAAATTAATTGTGGCTCTATCGGATATGGGCATATTGTGCCAAATGGCTCACAATGTATCTACCCAGTAGCGAATTTAGGATTTTGAGTCAGCACGGACGGTCGTTAAAGGGCCGAGTTGTAATACCCCAAACTTCACGTTCTACATTTGACCAATATGATTCATGCATTTCATGTTAATTACATTATCATTTGTATCAATTTCCTGATTGCCTTCTCTTAAAACGATGCGTTTGATCATCAAGGTTTTAAAATCTTTACATGATGATAACCTTCGACTCTTCGATCTAAGTGGTGAATTTTATATTGAGTTATGATAGAAAGTTATATTAACTAAATATTGGAGATTGGCTTGATAAGTAATGTAATATTTGAAAGGCCGAAAATTTGTATCAACGAAGGTTCAAGCTTTCCATTTGGCTAATCGAGGTCACCTTAAACCCTAGATAGGTAATTCACATATTTGGGACATGAGGGATGAAGTGACATTATCACAACGTAATAATATGTCTTATATGACATTATAAATATTGAGGTGCGAATTGTTGAAATCGGTTGAAAATCGGATAAGAAATTAAATGAACAGTTGAGGAATTAGATCTATAAAATACTTTGTGATCTTAATGCAAGTGAAATAGATTGTAAGCACATCAAAACAAACCAATGACACTTGATTTATACCTGCAAGGATAGATGTAAAATCAGAATTTAATCAAAGGAGACAACACCTATTTAACATGTGACGACTTGCCACTTTAACCTCTAATTCCTTCAACCTTAAGCCTCCAACACGTCCTATAAGTCCTTAGAACTTTACACAAGATATTTATAACTCTTCTAAGTCACATATGGCTCCATGTGGTGCAAGGGAGAAGTCAAAGTTGGCTGCAAGAAGCCACCTCCTACTTGGACAGCTCATGCTGGGAGACTTTTCACTTTAATATATAATTGCTTCAACCTTAAGGCATAAATTTCATGTCTAATCCCCAAGGACATAATATAGGATGAATATATATATCTTAAATATCATAAATGGACACAAAAATAATGGTAGAAAAGTCAAGTATTGCAGCCAAGATGACAGCTCATGCTTAGTGACTCACCTTGATTGCTTGAGGTGGCCGTAGCCCATGATATTCTTAATCCTTAAGTAATATGCACGACTTCAACCATTTAAAGACCACTCATTTACCTCCTAGATAATATATTAACTCCCCTAACTCGTCCCTAAGTGATTCCAAGTGAAAAGAGGGTGAAACAGTCAAAGAGAAATAGAAACAAGAAGCTGGAATTTCTGAACAGCTTTGTTACTCCACAGTTTTGAGGTTTGTTTCTATTATTTCTTAAAGGGTTTATGATTTCTTGAACATCTGAACTTGTTTGTGATTAAGTTGGAGTGTTGTTAATGATGTTATGATGCCTAAATAGGGGTAATTAATTGCAAGAATTTGAAAGAAAGTAATCTGGACAGAGATGAGGAATTGCTGGATTGAGTGATTTATACCTTGATTTTGGGATGATACTTAGTGTTTAACTTATATATGTCAATATGAACGTTTTTATATGTAAGTAGGGAGTGTAGAAATGATTTTAATGGCCTAGAATTCTGTTGGTATCATAATAATAAAATGGAAACCGAAAACAGTCAAAGGGAAAAACTGCCTGATTTTGTGTAGTGGAAAATGGACTGTTTTTGAAGCTCCAAACACTTCATTTGTCACAACGTTATGATCTGATTATCTTCACATATATGTTATAGGTGTGTGGCAAAAGTTTGGGAGCCGTTAAATGTAGGTAAGGACATGAAAAAGAATTTGAAAAATGAGTGGACGGTAATGGAAACCTAGAAAACAGATTTTGTCCATTTGGGTATTTAATGTGATTTCAACATTTAGATGTCCCCTAATGAACTCTTGGGCCTAGAAAATATATCCTAAGGAATACTAGGTTGTCGAAAACAATTGGATGACGTTGAGGTTCATAATTGGACTCAAGAAATAGCGAGACTTATGAGATTAGTTTGTAATGCCATCGGTAACTTGAAATAATGATTTTGTCTAAATTATTTTGACGTGAATGGACGTATTTTGGGATTGTGTGTGTTAAGATTACTAAATGGAGGATTGTATTTAATATTAGATGATAATACAGGCAACTTTTCGACGTTGAGCGAAAAAGGGAATTGATACACACTTCATAGGAGCTTACACACATAAAGGTGAAAGGTAAGTGAAAATCCATTTGCAACTACGATGCAAGAACCTAGTATATGTGACATAGTAATGTTGAAATATCTACATAACTTTGATAAGAGGCTTATAGCACATCATATGGTGGTTACGATCATTGAGTATGAGGTTGCGTAACCTATTGCGATCGATTTTTATTAAATACGTCATTTATGAGTATTTTTATATGCATGCACGACATGTAACATGGTTGAAAATTCTGCATGCAAAATATGATTTCAAAGTGAGTTTTATTATAAATGTTTTATTGACCACTACTAGGACACCGAGGCATGTGAGGCATGCTTATTTGATATGTTTGGCATTGCGGGTGTTACCTCCTGGGTGATTGCAAAGGTAGATAGAGGATTGGCCTTTGGTGATCACGAGAGGGCGGACCACTCGACTGTGCCCTTGTGATATTATGATTATTGGCGCTGTCGGGTGGGAGACTTCTTGGGTGATCATAGGGGTAGTCAGGGGATGGGCCTCTAGTGGTCACGAGAGGATGGTCCACTTGTCGGTGTCGATTTCATACTGCTCATTTGATTATTGATATTGATATTATGCAGAGCTCTATCCGGTGTATAGTAGGTGGGTCAAGGGCCCAATGAAATTAAAGATTTCAAGTGAAATGATTTCTAGTCGACTTTGACGAATATTGAAATATGATTTTTTTTATCGTGATATTTAAAGTAAATGGCATAGTGTCATATGTCGTTATTACTCATGTTCATGACATGCATGATTTTGCTTACTAAGCATTGACTTATGTAGTTCTTGCATTGTAGGTGAATATGGAACTACATAGAGAGCATGGCTAGCTGTGAAATTCCTACAGGATTCCAGAGTTCGATGTACATGGATGACAACCTGTAGAGTTATTTTGTAGGTTGCCATCTGTAGGGTTATATTTTGGAATCCTATATAGTGTACTTTTGAAATGGTCTGTAGACATGTGTTATAAGCTCTGAATATATATGTTGGATTATGGCGATATGATTTTGAGTTTCGATATATTATATGATCGTGTCACAGGTGATTACAAGTTAACAAACTCAAAAAAAAATATATGTAAAATTCTATGTCTAGGTTGTGTATAGATATCAATATTAATTTAGGGGTGTGACACGAGCCGAGCGGCTCGACTCGGCCCACTGCCATCCTTAGCTAGAAGGAGAATTTGGAAAAAGAAAGAATTATTAGAGATATAAACTCAAACCTTAATCTATTGTCAGCCCAAAAAAATGGCTTTCGGCGGATCCAGCTAGGGTGGTCGCCCTAGCTCGCTACTAGCTAAATTCGCCACTGATCTACCAAAAAGATGAAAGAAATTGTGGAGAGGGCTGCTCAGCTCGATGTTGTCGTCACTAGCAAGCTTGCTAGGTTAGGTATATGGGTGGGGAGAGAAGATTGATTCTCTGGTTTTGAGTTTTTTGGGAGGGTGGAAGATGAACACTGTTCATTATTATTTTTATTGTTTTTTATTTAATTATTTTAATTTTTGTATTATGAAAAAATATAAATTCACCATCATCATTTTTGAGTCAAAATTCCATTTTCTGTATTGACTAACCATATTATGGATGGAATCTGCCACTTGGACCCTGGCTGCCATTAAAGTGAGAGGTAGGAATTGCAGCCTAAATGAAAGGTTTAGATGTGATTTGCAACAAAATGAAAAGTTTGAAACCTCGGCCGCTATTTTCCCAAGCACATACTGAAATTAGGTGAATTGCATTGTTTTGAACACTAAATTTATTATATCTACATAATTAAGTTGGTGTAAAATTCATTAGTCGTGCTTCAAGTATAGAAACTCCTACCGAACACTCACAGCATCAGATGGTGGATGGGATTTTTTGTAGTTTTTTATACACGGGACCCACTTGGTCCTGTAAACCCAACATTATTCAAAATTTATGATGGTTGCCATACTTTCAAGTCAAAAAATTTTATTTTATTTATTTATTTTGAATAGACGCTGTACTTTAAGATATTCTTTAAGACTTATATCTTAATAATTTGAATTATAAGATTTTGTTGAATAGTCACTATATTATACTTCCGAAATTGTTTTCCATCAAACAAAACTTTTAATGCTGTCTACTATACATCGTCACATTGGATCCTATGAAAAATTAACGATTCTATTTATCACATCATCGATATTATTAATTTTCTGAAAAAAAGAGGGGAAAAAAATAAATGTGAATAATATAAGCCTTTATTTGGTAGAGATCGAAATTTAAATTTTAATCTTTATGAAAATTAAAAATTAATTTTAATCACATATTTCACAGAATTCATAACTTTTTGGACATATAATATTGAACCATGCTGCATGAATATCGGGCTTGACATCGGGGATGACTACATACACATACATGGAAGGTTGAACATTATTTTATTCACGTGGGATCCACGCATTCATGTGAATGCACGGTCATCGATATAGTCATTCTCGCAGATCATTTGGCTTTTTCTTATAATATTTTATCAAAATTTATAAAAAAAATTAATTTTAATTTTCAGGCTAAGAGTACGATGACCATTCAGATTTTGACCCCAACGAAATGTTCGGGGAGAGCAGGACAAACACGAAAGGGGGAGGGAGGGAGAGAGATCGCCCTCTAGACACGGTCTGTCCCAATTTAGTGTGGATTTGTCCATCCCAATTTCCCATGACCCACGTGTGTGTTCTCATATTTCTTGTCGTCACCTTTGTTTGTTTGTTACATTATTAAACTGCAAAATGCCAACGATTCTCCGTCGCTTTAACATTAATTTTACTTAAATCAAGGAAACTGTTTGTTACATTATTAAACTATAAAATGCCAAAGAAAAAACAGCGGCTGTTTTGTGTTAGTTGGACCTAATTCCCAGTGCTCAGAAGCATGCAATAATTACATTGTTAAATAAAAAATGGAAATTTCTTTCATTTACGTATAATATTATTCCATTGAAGATTCATTAAAAGAGAGAAAAACAGATTATAATTTTAATGAGGTCAAACGTAGTTTTGTTTGATTACATTTTGTTCAACTTTAATTGGTCAAATTTTAATTTTAATCATACGTTTTATGGGATTTATATTTAAATCAAATTTTCCACCATATATTTCATTAAATTTTATCAAAATTTGCTAAAATTTTAATAAAAAACTTTGTGAAACAGCTTAGTAATTTTATGTCAAGTATTATTTTTTATTTGAATATATTAAGATATATGTTATTTTCTTCATATTTATAAGCTCCAATTTGGTTGAAATTTTTTTAGAGTAGGTTTTGTGAAAACTGAATTTTTTTTCTTGAAAAAATGTATGGTTAAATAAGTGGAAAAAAGTTTTGAATTTACGTGCTAAATTATTTCATTGAGAAAATATGCAAGTTAAATCGAGTTTAATGAAAAGTGAATTTTTGAAATTGGAACCAACCAAGGTTGTTAAATATTTAAAACAGAAGTCAGTTTCAAAGTATATGTTTAGTTATATTCAATGTTCTAAAAAGTGTAAAGTGTGGAGGCATGTGGGTAAAGTTTCAAGTTTTACGAGTTAAAGCGAGTTTAGGTGAGGTTTAGCAGTAAAAAAACATTCTCTTATTTTTAATAGTATTTTAAATTTTTAAAAAATTTAAAAATCATTTAGTAATTAAAATAATAAATATCAAACATCTAGAATAATAAAATACTACATTTACTTAATAATTCCTACCATTAGTCAATTATACAATTTTAAAATTTTCAAAATGCAAAAATTAAAATATATTTCCTAGTTTCAATTTTCAACCACACACATTCTACTTAATAGATTTATATGAACTTTATACACGCTTTTTGAGTTTGCAACAAAATAACAAGTCTCAAGATTATAATTACATCGCATAGCTAGCACCAATCCTTAAGTCTTATTTAACTATTTAGATAAAATCATTTTTCACTTTTGTACAGATAAAATCTCTTAAAAACTCAAAATTAAAGTCAAATGAATTTTTTAAAAAAAAATAATAAGCTAAAGTCGAATAAAAGACTTTTCAAGGAAAGAGAAAAAAAAAAAAAACCAATAAAGGTGCGCCTAGGGAAGACGAAAGAGAGGAAGGAAAAAATAGACCGTTTAAGAATTGGGAAAAAAAAAAGCGTCTAAACATGAAGCGAGTTGTTTTGCTCGAGCTTCAAGTCCAGGTGACTACATCTTGATGAACTTTTTAGAGCATGGATTGTATTTAGAAGTCAGTCAAATTAACCTTTCTCATAAGAAATAAGTTATTTTTGTTTCGACGGAAAGGTAAGAAATATTAGTTTACTTATTTTTTTAACTGACTCAGAGCGAAATTAGTTATTTGAACTTTTTTACTTATTAACCTCTTAAGATTTGCCAAACATCCACCATTGCATTGTGTTCCTTTTCTTCTATGCCTCGTCTATATAAATCTAGCCTATATCTAATACCGTCAAGTTGTGTTCAACATATTCCTATTTAGCCCTTAACTTGATTATCAACAACATTAGATACAGATGAAATAACGATCTTATTCTATTATTCATATATTTTTTCTTTCTTTCTTGCATGCGAATTGCTTATTATATAAGTGCCGGGTCGTCCTATTGTTCGCCTGCGTATTGAAATCTACTCGAACTAGATCTTCCTACTCTCGCGCTTAAAGATGAATTAACGGGTTTTGAAGAAGACTGACTTTCTAGGGTAACAAATCTTAGTTTTGAAACTAGTAAAATACATGTTAAAGTTGAGAGATTAATTAAAGAGGTAGAAAAGGAAGGAGTTAAAAAATACGTTGTCAACATCACATATTTCTCGTAAATAGGCGATTATGTGAAAATTATGTATTATTCTTTTAAGTTGTTAAGATGATATGATGTTTCACATTGTCAAAATTGTATTAGGAAACATTTAATTAAGCTATTTTTTTGTGAGGATTAAAATTAGATTCTTAATAGATTTTGATAAAAGTCAAAAAATTTATAATTGAAAAATTGTGAATCCTCTGAAATATATGATTAAAATTAAGCATTGACTTTGACTTAATTAAAATCTAAAATAAATTTGACTCGAAAACATCTGTAGAAAGTCATTTCAAATTGCATTCTACGAGTTCAGTCCATATATAGATTCTCTTAAAATATTTCAAGTAAGCTCTATACTGAATATGCATCCTTTAACTTTTGGTTCAATTATATGTAAACTCGAAGTCATATAATAAATTGCGTGAGAGGTTTAATAAGTTAACATAACATATATTATGAAAATTTCACATAACTAAATGGATTAATATTATCCTTATTATGAAATTTATGATTTTTTTTTAACGACAAACAGTAGATAATACTTCACAATTCAATTTTATAGTATAAGCACTATATTTACAACAAATATTGAGAAAAAGGATTGAAGATGCAATGAAAAAGAGAAAAATGAAATGTGATGATGAGTTTTAAAGTCTGTTTGGTTTAGATTAAAATTTAATTTTAGTCTAAATTAAAGTTCAATGATCAATATTAGTCATATTTTTTATGAATTCTACAATTTTTCAATTACACATTTCAAAAATTTCTATGACAATTTATTAAAAAATTTAATTTTAATCACCATTACACACTGTCTTAGCATGGAAGTTATGGCACTCTCACTACTTTTACCACTGCTGGCTAAAAGTTGGAACATATTTGAACTTGGAGGGTTTTTATGACAGTTTTTAGGACTTCGCTATTTGTACATCCGGAATTGACACCTCGGATGACAATCCCCTCACAAGAGAGGGGCTCGCAATTATTTTATTATGTGTGGACTCTCCTCTCTTGTGAGTGGAATGTCATCCGGTGTTGATCGGGGTGTCAACCCCGAATATACAAATAGCTTTATTGCAGTTCGTGTCAATCCCTGAATATACAAATAGCTTTATTGCAGTTTTTATCCTACTTGTAGTAATCATAGGTCAAGAGGGGACAAAGGGGAGAGAAAGTGGGTATCACTCTCGCGGCCCATGCCGCAATTTGCTCGCTGTCTTAACCCCTCTACTCCTCCCCAAATCTCCATTCAACCAACTCTCTCTCCAGCCTTAACCTAACCCTAACCAATCATAAAAATATTAAAACATTTCCAAATTCTTCCCCCCCCCATGGACTTGTCACAGCCGAAGTCTGAAGAAAAAGCAGCCAAGAAAATTCCCCATCTTGTAAGATAGAGAAATTCCTATGTTTTGCGTCTGAATTTGAATATGTTCATCAAGATTCTCTATAAGTTAATTTAACGGACAGGTATTTGAAGTGAAGTGATGGATCAGTTAACAGCTCAGGGACGCCCTTTGCCGCCTCCGTTTCAGGCCAGAGATCTTCAGCTCCACCACCACCAATTCCAAAACCGCCAGCAGGATCTTGAAGATAAACAAAGCGAAAACAGTAATATAAACCGCAGCCTAAAGAGAGATTGCGACGAAAATTATGGTGTTTCCACCACCACCATCGGTGGAAGCGCCGAGGGGGAAGAGCTAGTGCCCGGCTCCGCCGAAGGGGAAATGACAAGAAGAACCAGAGGCAGACCCGCCGGTCCAAAGAACAAATTAAAACCCCCTGTAATTATCAATCGAGACAGTGCAAATGCACTCAGATCCCATGTCATGGAGGTTGCTAATGACTGCGATATTCAAGAAAGTGTCTCCACTTTCGCCACACGGCGGCAGAGAGGTGTTTGCATTCTGAGTGGTAGTGGCTCTGTGAATAATGTCACTCTAAGACATCCTTCTGCAACAAGCTCAGTGGTGACACTGCATGGAAGATTCGAAATCCTATCCATTTCTGGTTCCTTTTTGCCACCTCCGGCGCCGCCTGCTGCGTCAGGACTGACCATATATCTCTCCGGCGGACAAGGCCAAGTAGTCGGGGGAAATGTTGTGGGGCCACTTTTCGCTTCCGGCCCCGTGGTTATTATGGCAGCATCATTTGGTAATGCAGAATATGAAAGGTTACCTCTAGAGGATGAAGAACCACCAATGGCGGAGGCGCCAGGCGGCGGAGCCATTGGATCACCTCCAGGAATTATTGGCCAGCACGGGCAACAGCTTATGCCTGATCATGACACAAATCTTTTTCATGAGATGCCTTCAAATCTCCTTAATTCAAACCAATTACCCACCGAAGCTTGCTGGGGGACAGGTCGCCTTCCTTTTTAGCAAGATTTCTTTGCATTCTTCTTAATTTCTTTTGAAACTAGTTTTTCTCATGGTATCATCTGGTAATTAATCTGTCTTTAGTTCAAAAGGGATGTACAAATTCATGATTTTTTTTTCCCTACAGTTAGTAGTGGAATTTGAGGACTCTTTTTTCCTCACCGGTTGCATTTCAATTCTCGTATCTTGTCTGATAAACAATATTATATTTACTTTCTGATGAAGAATTACTAAGGGATTTTATGGTTCTTTATTATGGGGTTTCCCTTAAATTTTCCAAATTTAGTACTACAATCAAAACTCTACAACCCTCATAAAATGAACCCATATAAACATTTCTTAAGATATTCATACTGCATTATTCATATGTACCATAAAATAATCCAGTTCCCTCCCCAATAAGGAAGTTTGGCCTGGTTATTTCTTGCTTGTCCAATGATTCAGCAGGAAATCATATAGAAAATTGAACGATGCTATTTACACATAAGAAGTTACATAATGATTTACACAGATGAATATGTGGTGAGATATGATTTGATCAAAATCTCTTCGAAAAAATGAAAAAAACTTCGCCAGTTTCTTTTAGACACTTCATTATAAATTATTATGTAAATCATTATGTACGTGTAGCACTACGAGAGAAAATTTGACTCTACATTCGACTTTTACTTCTGCAAAAAGGTAGCATAATGTCCTAACGCCAGATTGAGATTGAACACCAATGGGGCCCTCATGGCACATCTCCAAGTGGTAAAAGTGGAGAGTGGAGAAATCCAGTTTTGTTTGAGGTTGTTATGTCAAGGGTTTGAATCCTGAAATATGGATTTGGCTCTTGGGTAAGTGCAAGTGTACAAGCAACCTTCCACCCTGTACCCTTGGAAGCATAACCTGCGATTTACCTCCCTCACGATGCTCCAGGACAGGGGTGGTGGGGGATCCTTAAGGTTGGGATTCAACCTTTTTCTTTTTTTTTTGAGATTGAACACCAATGGGAAGCAATAGAAGGACAGTGATTTGCTTCTTTTTGCATATGTGTGTGTAATTATTAACAGGTAGTGCTTTAAAGAATAGAGATATTGGAACAAGAATAAAGTTGAGTTGACCGAAAGTCTGTGATATATGCTTTGACATTCTCTCACATGCGCTTGGTACTCGTGTGAATAAAAAAAAATTCAAAAATGTTACCTTCACCCTCTATTATGAGTGTTCGATCAAGACTTCGATCAGCCTGTACCGGTAAGTGTAGTAGGGTTGCTAATGTATGACAACAGTCTGACAAGATGTTCACCGCGTGCAAATGGCCTCTAAATATGATTTGAATAGAGGTATGGGCTTAGTATTCTGTCTTTGATTTCTTTTTTAATGTGTTTCGGATTGAGGCATGAATATTGGTAATGGGTTACACGTGCATTCCTTCTCGAGGCAACCGACTCTTCCATATCAATACATAGTACAGACACATATAAGAGTCCAGATCAGCTGTCCCATTTTTTTGTCAATCGAATTATTTCTTGATATGTTATCAATAATTATTATGTTATCTCAAATTTATCCTTATTAACTTCACCAATAACCTACTAAATTAATGATGTGTCAAAATTTAATTGGACAGATAGTAGATCTTGACTCCACAGATAAGATTTTTCAGCATTAAACATCTCTATATATACATATTAAATTTCTATTTCCATTTCTAATATGAGCTTCCGAGTTGCTTGTTTTCCTTGCGAAAATTTTCAGCGTTAAACTTGCTCGTTTGCTCAAAATTTGTGTTTGGCTAAGCTTATAAGTATTCCATGGCTTATTTTGAAAGTGAGATTGTGTTTGGCTAAGCTTACAGGAATTTCTTGGCTTATTTTAGACAGTAAGCATGCCTTTGCTATCGAATTAAGACAGTAAATAAGAAACTGATAAGCTTAGCATATCATGCTTGAAATCTTTCTTGCAGGCACTCTTGTTCTCTGCTTAGTTTGTAACTTCGCATAGCTAATCTTTAACTCCTTGTATCGATATAAAATTCTTGCAATTTGGTTGGCATTTTTTTTTCTTTTTTTAAAACAAAGTCATTTTTATTTGAGTTAGGTTTATTTTCCTTACGTGTAGAGAAAATAATTTCCTGAATATATGGTTTTCTGTTATTTTAACTATTAATTAATCAAATGAAATTCTTAGTGAGGTCCGTATACAAATTTTTTCAACAATAACTTATGTATCTCTCTGAAAAAAACGTATAATAGCATGATTTGGATTATAATATTTCATTAGCTATTTCACAAGAAATGATATCACATCATATATTCCAACTTTACTTTTAATTCGCTTTTGCGTGGCATGCTTATGATAGGCCCCCCAATCCGGTTTACTTATGCAAGAAGGCAGAAAAGGAATTGTTAGATGGCGGCCGGGACATTGAGTTGTTAACCAGGGATAAAAGAGTAATAAATTGTAGTACGAGAATTCCAATAAATAAAAAGGGTGTAAAGATGTTGAAGCATTTAACCAAGGGGAATTCAGTTAGAGGGGAGAGACCGGGCCTCTCTAATAGCCCTAAAATTTGTTATTTCCATTCAGTTGAATATCAATACAGAATTCAGTTCCATTGTTTCTATCTTCCATACTTACGGCTATATTTCCATAAACATTCCTGTAGCCATATTTTCTCCAGAATTTACTTACTAATCTCTTCTCAGTCACGTGTCATAGACGGGGAAGCATTACATCGGAAGCAACCAGATCAGTTTCAGCATCACTAGACCAACAACAACCTCAGGTTCGTAATACTTTGGTATTAGAGCATTTGGTTCTGGGAATATGACTATATCGGATTGAGTTGGGGTGCTAGAAGCAAGGTTTGATGCGTTACAAGAGGAAGTTGGGGTGATAAAGAGGGATCTCCAGAAGGACATAGCTATGTTATTGGAGAAATTTGAAGTAATGATGAAAAACTGGGATATACAGGAGCGCGACACGAAGGAAAAAGGCAATTCACCTGATTTGACAGAGCCAGCTATGAGCTCTGATGCTCGGCTCAAGACCCAGGAAATGGGTGGTGTTGTGGAAGGAAGGGGGCATCGTGAAGAGATTGAGAAATGGGAGAACCGCAGCCACCGATTGGAAATGCCATTGTTTAACGGAGAAGACCCAGATGGGTGGATTTTTCGAGTTGAAATATATTTTAATATGAACTATTTCACAAACTAGGAGAAGATTGAAGCCGCCGGAATTTGTCTTAAGGGAGAAGCACTCACATGGTTTCTTTGGGAAAACGGCCGGCAAACTCTGTCCAATTGGTATGCGTTGAAAATTCTGTTGCTAGCCAGATTTCATCCATCACAAGAGAGTACTCTTTTGGAGAAGTTTTTGGCGTTGAAGCAGGATGGGTCAGTGAAGGATTATCGCCATAAGTTTGAGGTACTTGCCGCCCCTCTGCCGGAGATACTAGACACGGTGTTGGAAGGAAATTTCATAAATGGGCTAAATCTAATGGTAAGAGCTGAGGTTAAGATGCTCAACCCATGAAATGGCCCAGCGGGTCGAGGACCAAAATGAATCAGTGAAGAGGACTCTATTGTGGAACGGCCCTTCGCAATAAAAGCCCACACTATAATCAATCTGCTAGCCCAGCTATGAGTAGCCCAAGTAGCACATCTAATTTTCCCAGATCAGTGCCCGTGATTCTTCAATCACCCCATCTGACTATTACAATCGCTCCTAAGTCAATGGCGATGGCGATTCAACGGCCGGTGACAGCATTGAAGTCGGAGGCTCTTTCAAGCGCCTGACCATTGCTGAAATCCAGATGAAGAGGAAAAAGGGCCTTTGTTACCGCTGTGATGAAAGGTACAATTCGGGTCATAAATGCAAAAATTGAGAACTGGAAATTATCTTGGTGCAGGAAGAAGGAAGTGATGAGCTAGAGGAAGGATGTGGAGAAGAAGAGGAAGACAAGGTAGGGGATATGGTGGAGTTGTCAATTAAATTAGTTGTAGGATTGACATCCATAAAAACCATGAAGCTCGATGGTAGCATTCTGGGACAGAAAGTGATAGATTAATTGATTGTGGAGCTATCCACAACTTCATCTCTGTTGAAGTAGTGAAGAAATTAGCAATACCGGTTATGGGTTCAGCGAGTTTTGGGATTCTCATGGGGAATGGACTGTCAATTAAGGGTGGAGGAATTTGTAAAGGAGTCGTGGTCTCATTGCAAAATATTATGGTGGTGGAAGATTTCTTGCCTATGGTATTGGGTTGTACCTATGTTATTCTTGGGATGAAATAGTTGGAATCATTGGGCAAAACGCAAGTGAACTGGGGGGACACTTACTATGCACTTTAAAGTAAGAGGGGAACCTATTATGCTACAGGGTGACCTCGGCTTAGATAAATCTCGAGTGTCGTTGAAGACACTAATCAAGTCATTTAAGGATGAAGAGTAGGGGATTTTGCCGGAGCTTGGAAATGTGGGAGTGGAGGCCGGGGAGACCATTACTAATGTTCCCAGCATTTTTTATGAAGTTCTACAGCATTATCGTAAGGTCTTCGAAGGCCCCAATGAACTTCCTTCCCAACGATCTAAGGATCATTCCATTGTACTACAACCAGGGGTGGCATCGGTAAACATGCACCTATATCGTTACCCGTATGTGTAGAAGAATGAAATTGAAAGGCTGGTCAAGAAGTTATTAGTTGCTGGGATAATACAGCCCAGTTTTAGTCCATTTTCGAGCCCCGTCTTGTTGGTCAAAAAAAAAAGATGGGAGTTGGAGGTTCTATGTAGATTATCGGGCGTTGAATAAAGTTATGGTGCCTAATCGTTTCCCAATTCCAATGATAGATGAGCTGCTAGATAAGTTGCATGGGGCGAAGGTGTTTTCCAAGATGGACTTGAAATATGGATACCACCAAATCAGGGTTAGACCAAAGGACATTCCTAAGACAACCTTCTGTACCCTGAAGGTCACTATGAATTTTTGGTCATGTCATTCGGGTTGACCAATACACCAACGACTTTTCAATATCTGATGAATGTGTTCAAGCCTTATCTGTGAAAATTTGTACTTGTCTTTTTTGATGATATTTTGGTTTATAGTCGAACCGATACTTTTTCTTGTTGGCATAAAGCTGGTGGTCTGTAAAGTTCCCAAAACTAAACCCAAGTGTGCTCGTCAAAATTG